CGTTCAGCTGCCAGCAGTCGACACAGAACCTAACCGTTCCGTCCTTCTTGCTAACCAGTACGACTGGAGATGCCCACAGATTGCTTGAAAGCTCGATTATGTCGTCGTTCAGCATCTCTTTAACTCGCTCCTTGATTACCTCTTTCTCTTAGGGAGACTGTGTACGGCGATAGATGCGCAGGGAGCGCGCCGCCCTTGGTGACGATGCGGTGCTACGCAACGGTGGTGCTTAGCGAAGACGTCGCAAAACAGTAGCTTTATTCGGCGAGGAGATTAAAAAGCTGCCATGGTTTCGGGCCCGGAATGTTCAGGTGAATGTCGAGCTGCGCTGGCGACATACTGTCTTGCCGAGGTGACGAGGACTCTAATAATTGCAGCGATTTTGGCGGAGCTCAGGAGTTCCTCGACGTGTCCCACAGCGACACCTTTGGTGAGGCGTTGTGTCTCTTGTCGGAAGTTCGTCACGAAAACCACAGTGCGCCCATCCTAAAGTTCAGTTACTCCTCTTGCGACGCTTATTTCTTTTCCTGGTTGCAATTAAGCGTTGCCTTCCAGAAGAACTTCACCGCAGGTTCCTGCATCGGTCACGACGTGTACAACAAAGCTTGGTTGCGGTGGCAGGATTATGTGGTCGGCAGCTACTCGGACGGCGAATGACGTTGTTTGAGGCTTCTTTGGAGGCGGAACAGGTGTCCGTAGTTTCAATATGTTCTCTCCAAGGTCGATGACGGCGCCGTATCCGCATAGAAAGTCCATGCCGAGAATGACGTTTCCGGCAGTAATGTAGAACGACGAATTTTACAGGAGACGTCTCGTCTTGAATCTTGAACCGAGGAGTGCACCTTCCAATGTGTGTAATAAGGTGCCCTCCGGCAGTGCATATCTGCGGTCCATCCCACGTTGTAGTGACTTTCCGAAGGCGTCGAGAGAGTCTCCCATTAAAAACGGAGTAGTCCGCTCCGGTGTCCACGATGCCGACGCGTCGTTGCCGTCGATGGCAACGTTGAGCTTGGTTGGCACTGTTGCGGAAGAGTCGTCCCGATTCGTGTCGGCTTTGGTGTGGGAGTTTTTCGGCGTTCTTGGAGGGTCTTTGCATTTACCGTCTTCGGCAACACCACCTCCAGGCGTTGCCGTACCTAGTTTTTCTGATGGGACAGGGGAGACAGGTGTCCATGGCGCGACCGACGGAAAGGTGATGCGTAACGTCGGGAAGATGGAGAACGGGAACCTCGTGGTGCTGTCGGCACTGATGACGGAGGGCGACGGATGTATTTCTTGCCACAGCTTGTTCTGGGCGAACGGGCGCCCGATCTTCCTGGCGTCTGGGACACTGCGGCGCTGGAGGCTCACGTCCGTGGGTAGGAGGGGGGGGGGGGGGAGGGAGGGGGGTGGAGGGGGGGCGCCATGTACGTACGCGGTACTGCTGTGGTCGTCGGACCGTTGCGGTGTAGCTAAGAGCAGTCTCCTGCTGTGCTGCTATGGTGAAGGGAGTCACGGGCCGGAAGGTTCAGGGAACCTCCTCCCGGACGACTTTTGCAAGTGAGAGTGAGGATGGACGATCTGCATCGTGTTGGAGCTTGCGGACGTCTTCCCGGACGATATTCCGGACGATCTCCCAAAGGTTGTCGGCACTGGTGGGGCTCAGGTCCAGACAGGAAGCTGCGACGGTTGGAGCAGTAAGCGCGCCGGCGAGTCGGTGATAGTGGCTTGCTCAGGCCGTCAGTGCACGCTCAATATTAGTGACATCGGTTACAAAACCATCAACAGTCTTTGGGGGATTGTGTAACAGGCCTCCGGAAACTCCACTTTTCACGCCACGCATGAGGGCGCGAAGTTTCTTCTCCTTGGCAGCCTCCGCATCGGCTCGGGCGCTTAGGCGCAGGACATCTTCAACACAGCTTTTCACGCTTTCGTTGGGGCCCTGCATCTTTGTTTGAAGAATGTCCTCCGCTCGCTGCCGACGGTGGTGGTTGATAAACGTCCGCTTCAACTCGGTGGCAGATGACTTCCACGGAGTAAGGGAGGTTTCCAGGTTCTCAACTCATTGCCTTGAGGTGCTCCGAGCGAGAAGTAGAGGTTTTGGAGGCACTGCTCAGCCGTCCATCCGTTGTGGCGGGCTGCACGTTCATAACGCTGCAGCCAGTCCTCTACATCCTCGTGGGCTTCGCCTTGAAAGGGCGTCGAAGTGCGACGAGTGACGGGCAGGATGACGACGGGTGGGGCAGTCATCGTCGGGGTCTTCTTCTTTGGCTTCTGCGGCGGGGGTCCGAATTCCGGGAATCGGCCTTTAGTACGGCGGTTTGTTTGGGCTTCGGCGTTTTCAACGTAAGGTAGCCTTCCAGGCCTGAGCACCTCACTTGGCTGGGGTGTTTTTCGGAGCGGTGCGCTTCACGGGCATAGAATGCGATACCCAGCACCTCCACCAAAATGTCACAAATGACAACTGATGAGGCGACGGTTTACTGAAGGAAACGAAACGTTTAATGGGGCAAACTTGGGCCCGAATCAAAATAGGAGAAGGCTAGCGTTCCAGGCTTCGATGGCGTTGCAGGCTTCGACAGCAGTATCGAGCGCTGGGGCGATACTGACTTCGCCTCACTACACGGAGCATTTTTTGTACCAGGTGGGCTTCTGGAACATTCGGCCTAAAACGTTTGGCGCGTAGAACATTCGTAACTTGGTCAGACGACAAGGTTCTCGAACTTAAGAGAACGCCATGTTGAAAGTACAAATAAAGGAAGAGTCCGCACCCTGAAATCGAACCAGGAGCCTCCGCGCAACAGCCAAGCACAGTACCCATTCGGCCACGCACGCACTCGCTCGGCGACGCGAGTGGCAATATCTCAATAACTATTAAATTTTCTACAATTTCTTTATTATTTTTCTTTCTTTACAGCGGGGCTGTTAGGGGCAAGTTTTTCCAGTTTCGTGTTCGTGGACAAATAAATCTCGATACAGCCCTCTGGACATCTACCGCCATATATAAGCGACGGTGGCAACCAGAAAACCGGCTTGCCGGTTGTCTGGTTGCCACCGTCGCTCATAGATGGCGGCACATAGTACAGTTCCGCTGCTCTTCCTTCTTCACTAGAGTGGAAAGGCTGAAAGTTCTTTTAAATTGGTTTGGTTTCTAGTAGTAACTACCATCTATATTTCGATTCCAGGATGACCCCTAAATCCAATACTTAAAAAGGTGATGAAAAATTATTCTTAATTATTGGACTTAGCATGGTGATTATCCCGCCGTCTAATGTCCGTCCGCCGAGCCAGATAAATGAATGGTAAAGACTGCATGCCTCTAACTCTCGCTTATTAAAAAGAATGTGTTCTAATTAAACATTAAACATCCTGTGTATGGAAATATATGAGTTTATAATTATTATGAAGGGCAGCACAGTCCACATGATGAGTTGAGGCGTACAGACATCAAGATGCTTGCACCGAGTATGCTTAATTCATGAGCACTAGAGCCAGGTTAAAGAACAAGTCAAGGGTCGACCTTTATGTCCGGATATTAAGACACTCATACTTCAGTAGTACAAAGATTTACACTAGCTTAATCATGTGGACAAAAATGGGAACCTACAAAATTAAGGACAGAACGAGTGGGTTGGTAGGGATAATTAAACTTGAGGAAGAAAACGATAGGTGACGTCTTTGTTTATCCGTCCTTTCACGTTTTCTTCCTCAAGTTTAGTTTAACTACAGAATTAGTTGAGATACGTATGGTGTGTGTCGCAGACGCTGTTTGTGTGGGATCGCGGTTGGTGCTGATATGTGCGGGGTGTGTGGTGAGGTATTTCCAGACATTCTGTATCCCCTGATCTTTGTCAGCAAAATCAAGGTAGTGTGAAATTATCATGTTTATGGCTGCGGTCCCACAGAGGCCACCTTGAACAAGCCATTCGTTGCACCGCTAGATTACAACACTGATCCGTGTGGCCGAAAAACTGTGGTATGTATCCTGCAACTGGTGTTCCTACTTCGTTCTTAATTTTCTTCTTTCTTTTGCCCCTCTATGCACGTTTCACGTCCACCGCTTCAAACTCGACAATATATGACAATTTTAAGATGCTCTCTGGGAATAAGCTAAAAATAATACATATAAAACAATCGCACTTTTCTTTTAGTTTTGTAAAGTGCTATGATTTTATTCTCGGGGGCTAGACATTTAAGCTCACTTTTAGGTTATGGTTTCTGGGATCTTGAAAATTTTTCAGAAAGTAAATATACTGGTTCGATTAACTTGAAGTTCAGGACATTTGTGGGCAAGTTTTCCTGTTTCAGGGATCCAGGAAAGCAATAAGATTCGTAATTTTGTTATAAAAAAAAATTAAAACATCTTTCCATCCTTTCAGTAAGCTCGGACTTTTATGCGACGGTTGACAGATGGCGCAAGTTTGCAGCTTTCCCATGTCTGAGAATCCTGACGTTGTTAGCTGGTATGGTATATTGCTGCGAATCACTCGGTCCCAAGTTCAATCCCTGTCGGGAGTACTCTCGTATTCGTATCTTAAAATGGCCCCATGGGGTACATAGGTGGTATTCACTAGGCGCCATGCTTGAGTACGTCGTTCACAACGCATGCTCAGAACGATACCCCACCTATCTTTTAAGGGTACCTACAATCTTCGTGGTACAAAGTGCACTTTTCGGAAGCTCATTATACCCTTGCGCTGAGCAGCAACGGACTCAACTATGGCCGCCTTGAATACCAACCATATGCTTTATATAACTTTAACCAACATATAGCAGTCCAGCGGGGCGGTCAAGTGTGAAGGTTTTTGATGGAAAACCGGCGTATAAACACAAACTTAAAAAAAACCTCAGCCTGATACTTTTGATTTGCAAAATATTTTACTGGGCAGTGGTCGGCAATGTTTGCCCAGTTTATGTGAAAACGAACAGTTCCCGTTGTAAAAAAAAAACAAAAAGAGGAAAAAGAAAACGAACTAAGGGGACTAAATTTATCTACTGGACTGTAAGCGTCGTGTACATACCCGTGTAAGTTCGTGAAATTTTCACGATCAGGCATTTAGAGTCGGCGTACACAGTTTCGAAGTCATAAGAAACTTCATCCTTGATCACTAGAAATACGAAGAAATAAATAAATATGTCAAAGGTGTCTTGGCTCTTAAAGGGTCCCTGGGAAGAAAGAAAATGTCTTTTTTAAATAGTCTGGTTGGGAGAAGCGTGTCAAAAAATGAATTTTACGCGAAAACAAAAAAATTGGAGTAATATTGACGGCGTGAGATTTCTTTGAAAGTCTGCACACCAAGTCCATGACGTCACGGACTGGTCATTCGCTCAAAGAGATGGTAATTCACTTTTTCCACTTCATCGTGATGTCCAAGCCGATCCACCTCTCCTCCACGCGCCCGAAATGCTGAGAGAGAAAACAAGTGGAAAGGAGGTGACTAACGACTAAATCACGTCTCGCGCCGTCAACATTGCTCTAAAAAAAATGTTTTTGCTTTATTTTTGCGTAAAATTAATTTCTTGACACGCGTGTCCCAACCAGACTGTTTTTAAAAAAATATTTCTTTTTCTTTTCAAGGGCCCTTTCAGGCAGTTTTATTTCCGCCCCGTTCAGAGACAGAACAAGAAAGGCACTAAGATTGAACATGAAGTATGATTATAGAACTTTTGCCGAATTGCCCAGGTATTAAAGATAATACTGGGAACGTGCATACACGCGCTGAACATGCTTGCCTTATCTGTATGAAATATTCAGAATAAATAACCGAAATAAGGCGTTGACGAGTGCACGTGCAACGGACCATTTTCTAATGTTTTTGCATTAAAAGGGTTTTTGATACATTAAACAGAATGTGCCGTGCGTGTAACTAAAATCAGCATGTGTTTTGACGCTTGGGTAATTTAGCAAAAGGTCGATCGTAATAATCACAACAAAATAAAAGTTCGATGTTAAGACTGCATTACTTTAGACAGCCAGACTTTGGTGAAAGTCTTACACGATGTACATAAAACATTTTGACATTTTAGTATGACTACTAATCGGTGGTTCTAATGTGCATCACACAGTTTTTTTTAGGATACACCACCGTACACAGGTAGGGAGCTCATTCAGTTCAAAACGGGGAGGGGCGGGAATTGAATATTAGAACCCTGGGTTTTGCAGCGCCAGCTTTCGCTCCGCGTGCTTCGAGCTGCAGGGTGTTAATAAACTGTTTTCTTATATTGCAAAAAAGAAAAACAAAAAAGAACATCATATTTACTTTATAAAATAACTATACTTGGCGACAATATTTCCTAGCAATAAAACTAAAACTGGGTATCTTTGCGCACGGCACATTGAGCGCCGATCAAAGTTGTGAACTACGTGTACGGTCTTCACTTCTTCTGAAATGGCTCAAACAGTTGTCTTAGATAATACGCAAGTGGGTAACTTTTGACTACACCATAAAATACCATGCAATTAGGAACGTAGTTCTGTAACATTGACGATAAAGTACATACACATGTGCCGTACATATAAAAGTAGTCACAAGGGGCAAAGGGAAAACAAACATGGCGTGCTGAGAAAATTATTTTTCGTACATTCGCTTGTTGAAATTGTGTTATATTATTCGGGACTTGACAGTTTCCATAAGTCAGTTTCAGGTAGCATTATACCTTTAGTTGAAGGGCGTGTATAGCGACTATTCTGAATCAAGTACTGCCACGAGGGTTCATCCCACTCCCTTAGCAATGTAAGTTTAGTAGAGAACTCAAAACGGCATGTAATCCAATCAATGCCAAGTTCTCATAACTTAGGGCGTGTTCTTGGTTAACTATGTCGAAAAACGTTTTGACATGCAATGATGACTAAATATAAAAACTGATTTCCATGACAAGCTGCACTAAAAATAGTCTGGGATTAGAACATTACAGAAGGGTATACCGTAGCCTACTGTCCCACGGTAGAGAAACAAATTACATGAGTACACTTGAGACTGTTTACATGCAGGAAGGCGAAAGCCAATCAAGAACGATGTCAACGACGACTTTTAGGACGACTTCTGGGACGATCTTAAGGACGACGTTGAGAACGAGCGGGAGCCACCGTACATGTTGACACGGTCGCCTCACAGTCCATCGCACGATGCACACAACGAGCACAGATGAAGTCCGAAGGGCACCTTTTGCACACGGCGCTCCGGCGGTGACATCACGCTGATGACGTGTGATGACGCATGATGACATCACAACGCCGACTATTTCGCTTGTTTTTCACGTACTGTTACAAGTGAGGTCGTCCTAGAGGTCTAGGCTGACTTCAAGTACGACCTCAAGGACGACACCAATGTAATGGGACAAGTAGGGCCACCCATTGAGCGGCGCGTGCCACGCAATTGCCTTTTTATGGCCATTTATTTCCATTTTTCGCTCAATGGGACAAGTAAAGCTTTCGCCTTAAAAACAATGTTCTCTTTTTCCACAATTTTCACTGGTATTTATTTTATATTAAACTGGACAGACAACTTTTTAATCTGCGCGCGGAGTCACCCCGAGATCCGTGCTTCAAATGCCACATGACAATGAGTTCAAGGGGTAACTTGGCACGCGGCATTTGAGCTACGCAGAATTTTCGTTGACTCTTGTTTGCAGACTTTCTTTTTGTATGTTGTATAAGCAGTGTAAACCCGGCTATAGACCGTTATCGCCGGCTATAGGGCGATATCACCACACGCGTCGCCGAGTGAGCGCGCGCGTGGCGGAATGGTCGCAGCGCTTGACTGTCGCGCGGAAAGTCTAGGTTCGATTCCCGTCGGTTCCGCCCAAGCGTTCAATCCCGCTGTTACGCCGACTTCGACGCCCGCGACGCTCTGTTGTTGTCCTCAGTTTCCTTTTTAGAGCGCAGCTCTTAGGCGCCCGTTCCCGGCTTGAGCGGCGTCGCCGCCGCCGTTGGCGTCGCCGTCGGCGTAACCGCGCGGTGCATTATGGGTAAATGTCCCCGCTAAATCTAGCGGAAAAATTTCCCCACTAAATCTAGCGGAAAAACTTCCCCGCTAGATCTAGCGGAAAAATTTCTCCGCTAAATCTAGCGGAAAAAATTTCCCCGTTAAATCTAGCGGAAAAAATTTCCCCACTAAATCTAGCGAAAAAATTTCCCCACTAAATCTAGCGGAAAAACTTCCCCGCTAGATCTAGCGGAAAAATTTCTCCGCTAAATCTAGCGGAAAAAATTTCCCCGCTAAATCTAGCGGAAAAAATTTCCCCACTAAATCTAGCGGAAACTATTCCCCACTAAATCTAGCGGAAAAACTTCCCCGCTAGATCTAGCGGAAAAATTTCTCCGCTAAATGTAGCGGAAAAAATTTCCCCGCTAAATCTAGCGGAAAAAATTTCCCCACTAAATCTAGCGAAAAAATTTCCCCACTAAATCTAGCGGAAAAAATTTCCCGCTAAATCTAGCGGAAACATTTCCCCGCTAAATCTAGCGGAAAAAGTTTCCCCGCTAAATCTAGCGGAAAACATTTCCCCGCTAAATCTAGCGAAAAAACTTCCCCGCTAAATCTAGCGGAAAAAGTTTCCCCGCTAAATCTAGCGGAGAATTTTCCCCGCTAAATCTAGCGGAAAAAATTTCCCAGCTAAATCTAGCGGAAAAATGTTGGTCACATGACCCGGGGGTCACGTGACCTGGGGAGTCACGTGACACCCCGAGGTCACGTGACCCCCTCCCAAGGTCACGTGACCTCTGAGGGGGGGCACGTGTTTGCCCCCACGTGACCCCCCCAAGGTCACGTGCCCTGGGGGGGGGGTCACGTGACCCCCCCCCCCCGAGAAGACGTGGCCCTCAGTACCCTCCCCTCCTCCTCCTCAAGAGCTGCGCTCCAATTCGGCGTTACAGGGAGTGGTAAGCGGTTTTCACTTTTTTGTCTTGGGCACAAGTTCGCCCGCATTAAACATTTCAGTTTCCTCATTTCTTTTTTGTGTCCTCACTTCTTCATTCGTGACATTTTGGTGGAGGTGCACGAGACCTGCCGGTTGGCCCTATTGCTTACAAAACGTTCTCGCTTTTTTTTTCTATTAAAAGTATCAAAGTTAATATTTTTTTCTAGATATTTGTTTAAAATGAAAGGTAGTTAGTCATATGTTGGGTTCCGCGTTTTCGTATTTTTTTTTTAGCTCGGCGTACTTTTTTCAGTGTTTATTTTAAAGTTCAAGTTTCGATTTTTTTTTGTGTATATTTAGTTTCGGAAAAAGTTTACCGTTTTTTTCGGTGAATATGAAAGAAACACCATTGGATGCCGGATCAGATGATTCTTGTAGCTGTGATATTTGTGATCACTCAAAGAATAGCTACACATATACATACGTGGTCTTTGCTACAACTGCCGTCAGGACACACCTCAATATTGCATAATTCGCGGGCGTAATCTTCAGCACGCTTCTTTTTCTTTCGCATTCTGTAGACGTGACAGTCTAAGGTGATGACCGAAAAAAAACCAGTAGAATTGCAAAAAAAAAAGAAAAAAAAAGATCCATTGTATTTATGTTTTTAACCAAAAGGAAGTTTGAGAGAGGGTGTTAAAAAGGTATTAGCGGCTTTCCTCGATGTCCTCTGAAGTGCATGAAGTGAAAAACCTATACTAGCCCACATCCAAACTTTTTTTTTTAGGACCGGGAACTTGACCATTAAGCCCGATCACGGAAAGAACACAGATGTCCCTTGAAGGCCAATCCAAGACCTATTTTGCTCCATGTTGAACCTCGGAAGAGGGCAATCACAAAGAGGTCACACAATGTCGAACCTTGCGAAGCCCCCCCTCTCTGTCCCCCCCCCCCCCCCCCCCCCACCTCGACGCGGCCCTAAAAAACCAACCTTTTTCGATTAAAACGAATTTCCGAAAACGCATTAGACGTACTTTTATCGGTTTTTATGGGTTTAAACTGAAAACGCCGTACCTACAAACTGACCATTTTCGGTTAAAACCGAATTTCCGAAAATGAATTCGGCGTACTTTTATCGGTTTTTATCGGTTTAAACCGAAAACTCCAAACCTTAGTTATATGGCAGCGACTGCGAGAAGTATTCAGTGCGCCTGCGCGGCACAAACCTCCTGTCACAGCTGCGGGTGCG